GACTAAGAAGCCTTTTCCTGCATGCCACCATCTTCGGCCGGAGCCTCATCTTCCTCTTCAGGCTCTGGGGAGACCATGCGACCTACAATAATTTGATGGAAAGGACCCATCCCCGCTGTAGTAAATGGGACATCCGGGTTCACAAGCCAGAGCTGCTCCACGACGCTATCATAACCCACCTCAAGCGCCCTCAAGCAATCCTACTTGAGCTCCCGAATCCTGCACAACATGGCAGCCCGAGTCCTCATCCGCCTTTCTTCCTCGGTCTCGTCTTCTACTTGCCTGTGGCCTTCAGTTGTTCCTCCACCTCATCGTACAGCTTACGCTGGGCAGCGCTGTCTTCTTTCATCTGGCCAAGGTCAACAACCAATTTGCTCATCTCCGCCTTAACAGTTGCCAAGTCGGCCTGCAGTTTGAAGAAATCAGCCGAGGAGTAGGCCTCATCGTTAAGAACCATGGCCGTCTCGAAGACCCGAATCACTGCAGCCAGGTCCTCAGACAAAATCTTCTTCCTTGTCTGCTTGTCAGCACCCAGGACAGCTTTGGCCTTCGCGACACCTACCACGGGAGAGTTGGCCCCACTGAAGAATGAAGGTTGTAGGTGACAGGGTGGGAGGACAAACCTCTCTACAGCGTCCCCTCCAGTGAGATCAACAATTTCTGGACCCGACAGTCGCACTCTCTTCGGTGTGCCCTACGAGGAGGGAGACTGACCCGTCGGGCCGAGAATCTGAATCGGGCATCTGTTGCACCTGTGCTACCCTTCCCTTTCTTGATTTCTTGCTGGCCTTGGTGGCCGCCAACATTTTCACACGCTCGTGCATGCTAGACATCTTTCGTGCAAAAGAGAAACAAACAAAGTTAGCATATCAAACCAAAGTCGGGCACACAGGAAATAAAGCAAACTTACTACCTAAGAGGCACAAAGCTTCCCCGTTAGAAGCGCATTCGAGGAGGGCTCTCGTATTGATTAAGCGCGACTCCGTGCGAATCTCCCCGTTGGCCTCGAGGATGAACTTCTCGTCCGGGGTCACACACTTTGCGGGGGGAAAGCTGGCCACGAAAGTGACCGGCTTCTAGTAAGTCGCTCGGTCCTCAACGTTCATCTAGCCTGGCCGCACGATATATCTATCAGTGCCTCTGTTGAAATGCTCCTCCATCAACACCAAAGGGATTTTCGACACCAGAGCCTCCTCGGGATGTTCGTCCTTCTCTCTGACCTCGCGGTCAAAAAGGGAATCTACGACCACATGGGTCGGTCTAATGACGTACCACCGATCCTTAAAGTGCCTGATAGAATCCATATATGCTCGAAAGAGTATCCTCGGCTGCTTTAAAGACACCCAGTTGTGTCAGCCATCGATAGTCTGCCTCTGGAGATGAAAGATGCGGAAGAAGAGCGAGAGAGTGGCCCCGACACCAAGATACTGACAAACTATCTCGTATGCTCGCACGAACGCGATGGCATTGGGATGAAGCTGTGAGGGCGACAATCGAAGCCAATCAAAGACCCCCAACTGAAAGTCGATGAAGGGCAGGTGCAACCCCGCCTCCCAGAAGGCGAATTTGTACATACAGAATCTCACCCCCCCATACGCCGAGCATAAGTGGTGGGTTACCCGCGGTCTGTATGCCTTCCAATTAACGATGGATTCCTCGACACGATCCTCAACGTTGGCAAAAGCGTCAGAATCATCCTCAGCAAAATGGGAGGAGATGCTTAAGGGCTCCTCCCCAACCCAATCCTCGGGGGATCTCATGTGCTCCTCGCCAGGCAACGCCATCGGAGAATTTGGCTCGTCGTCAATTTCAACAGTTCCTTGGGCCCAAGAAGCCATTTACACCTGAAAAGCATAGGAAATTGGTGAGTTCGATGTTTAGAATCAAATCCATCCTTCCACCACAGATCAAGTGAAAAGGTAAAGAGGGAAGACTCCCACGGGCAAAACCTTTAGCACCTCGACAAACGGGAGCATAGTCCCTAGCGTCGGTCCCCCGGAGGAGCGCATAAAACTCTAGAGGAGAAATTGCGCCAAACCAGGACGCGCCCACGAAGAGCCTCCTGGATCCTCGGGGTAATCATCAAGACTATCCTATACGCCTGGGGGCTTCAACACGCATCCTCGGGGAATTCATCCATGATCAACCTACCAGCTCGGGACCTTCAACACTTGTCCCCGGAACATTCATCCTAACCCTACTTTTTCTTCTAGGGTTGCCCGACGTATTCACCGGAATACCCTGCGATCTCCCCGGAACAATCATCATGTCCACTGCATGATCGTTGGAGAATAACTAAAACAAGGTGAAAAAGGTGAAAGACAGAACAAAAATCAAAGAACTTACTTGGAGTGGCTATTCTAGACGGAGGAGGCGGCGGTCGAAACGGCGGCTGACGGCAGATGATATTGTGCAGAACTTGAAGAGACGGAAGAGAAAGGAAGCGACGTCAAGAGTAGAGAGAGAATGAAAAGTGAGAAATGGGGCAGGACAGGGCTATTTATAAGTCTAACACGAGACTCGAGGCGCCCCTAGGCACTCAAGCACCCCTATAACTAGCCGCCCTAGGATGAGCAATGGGCACCCGACACGTGGCAACCATGACTGTTTGTGCCCCTTCATTTTCCCTCGAGCTCAAAATGCCAGCGCCTCGGTCATCTTTTCGCCTCCCCGACAAGCATGGCTCTCAACCCCATCTTCCGGGCATAAGACCACCTTTTCTATCTTTCCTCGACATGGCCTATTCTTAAGTCATCACTCCTCCGCCTATGAGCAATGACTTGGGGGGCTCCTGTTTTGGACTGGGTCGATGCCTACTCATCAGTCGGGCAAGCCCAACCCAACACTATATATGGGAGGCCCAATAAGGCTCAATCCTCACATATCGGGCATGAGCCACATATGTCGGGCAAACGACTCCCTCCACGGGAAGACTCGCACGTTTTCCCCATGCGGGAACACGTCATCAGGCAATTTCCCACCTCCGAAAGAGTTGGTCAGCCCACCTTTAAAAGATCACGGGGCAGTTGATCTAGGGCGAAGACCACGTGCTGGTCTTCACTACGCCACGTAAGCCCTGACAGTTACTTTGGTTGGGCCTGGAAGTCTGACCCAATGCAAGTAATCGTTGGCCCTGCGCTGGGTTCTCTCTATAAATACTCTCTTTCAATAGAGGGTTAAATATTCTATTCTCTACACCTACGTCTTTGTATTTGCTCTCCCACTCTGATCCTTTACTCACTTAAGCATTGAAGTGTCTTACAGGTACACTTCCTCCTTCTCCCTACCTTCGATAAAAGTTACAATTCAACGACGCGTGGCAGACCATTGATCTTTTCTGATCAGGTGAGATCAATTCTCTTTAACAAGTTTTTTAAATATTCAATCACTATAGATATGTTGGTTTTAATATATTTGATATTAGCATACTTCCTTCTTAACATATCTGGTGATTTAGTATGAAAATTGCAGCGAGGTTAATAAATTATATTAATTCAAATAGAGATCTTTGATGCTTGATATGTTTTACCTTTGGTAAGATTTTACAACAAATATTTGTTTATGTTGTATTATGACACTTAGTAAATTTATGTATCTTTGAAACATCACCTTACTTATAAATTTTGCATATTGAAAATTGGAACCTATCTGATATATTTTTTCATATAGTTGTAGGATAGAAAAATAACTTATGAGTTTATTGCTGCAATGATAAAGTATGCAGTTGGAGCCATAAATTAAGTTAGTTGATAAAATGATTTTGAGATGTCTAAACATGTTTTTGTTTAACATTTTTAATGTAAGGAATCACAACTTAACAATGTACGCTATAATAATATCTTACCTTTTCATATTGTCTTCATACATATTTCTATTGGTTTTTTAAAATATTATTTATATCAATGCATAAAAGTTGGTGTATATCATTAGTTTATATTTGTATTATGTGAATGTCGAAGGTCTATAATACAATTTTATAGACGACAAATTAGATATGACCAATTAGATAGAAAAAGTGTTCATTACATCAACTAGACAGTAATATGTGCGATATAACACGGATATTTTATTGGTTTCTTTTATAAAATAAAATCCAAATTATTACGTTAAGAAAAACAAAATTAGAGATTAAACAAATTTTAAACTGATTTACTAAAAAAGTTATTGTTTTTAAAAAATAACTTTAAAAAAATTGGTTTAATTCGATTTATTTGGAGTCAATAACAAACTATAATATGTATTTAATTCGGTTCAAACCTCTAACAGTTCCATTCAGTTTTTTGAATAGAATTTGGAAGTTCACCAGCTAAGTTGTTATCGTTGACCATAAGAATTTGCAACTTAATGGAGTTTCTAAGACCATCTCTAGCGGTGGTTTTTCATTCTTATTCGCCAGTCTGACATATTTTGTTTGCATAAAATATATACTGAAATGCATCTAAGTTGGCGGACATTGCAGTGTGAAGCAACGATGCAATGCCTGAAGCAACCGTACGACACAATTACAATATATTAAAATAATAAAACAATGTATTAAAATATAATAAATATAATAAAAACTAGTCAATTCAACTGCTATTTTTTTATTTTATTTTTTTTAACTTATTTTTTATTATAAATATATTTTTGGTTTCTAAAAATTTACCAACACAAATTTCTCTCACTTTTATTTTCTCTTCAATTTGAAATTTCCCTCTCACAATTTCATCATTTTATTCCTATACTTTTATTTTTTTTTCAACAATTTTTTCTCATTAGCATTTCTTTTACAAAATATTTAACTCAAAATTTCATCTTTTTACTTCAAATTACAATTGTTTAGGCCAAATGGATCCTAATCATTTTCATTATCAACAAGCTTTTTTCAATTACATGCAAAATTTTCAAAATCCTAATCCTCAAAATTCTCAAATTCCACCGGTGCCAACAAACTCCGCCATATTTCTTCCGTCACCAAACAATCCAATATGTATCCTATACCTCAAATGAATTCTAATAGTATGGAATTGTCTATTCAAGTTCCACCATTTTCTACTCAAGTCCCACCATTTTCTACTCAAGATGGTACTGAAAAAGAAGTAAGGGTTGTCGTTAAAAAAAGATCTCGAGAGCAATTTACAAGGGAAGAGGATATACTACTTATCCAATCATGGCTCAATGTTTCAAAGGATCCAATTGTGGGAGTTGATCAAAAGGCTGCGAGTTTTTGGTTAAGAATTGCTGCTAGTTATAACCAATATCGTCGGCAATTGCGGGAAAAGTTAGGGGGACAGTTAAAATGTCGATGGCATAGAATAAATGACATGGTTCAAAAATTTGTTGGGTGTTACAAAATTGCTCTTAAAGGAAAGAAAAGTGGGACATCCGAGACCGATGTCATGGCAGATGCAAATGCTATTTTTGCTCAGGATCAAGGTACAATATTCAATCTTGAGTATGCATGGTGATTGTTAAAAGATGAAGTTAAATGGTGCATCGTCGAATAATCGATTGAAAGTTTTGCAAAAATAACAAATACTTATGCTAGTGGGGCATCATCGGAGAACCCAGATACAACTTCAAGTTATGAGTTTAACTCATCATCACCAATGGGATAAAAAGCAGCAAAAAGGAAGGGTAAGGCATCAGAAATTCCAAATGCAACGCAAGATGCAAAGAATAAAAGAGCAATAACAATGGACAGACTTGCGCAAGCTAAGGAGGACGAGCTAGAATTAAGGGTAGTGCAGATGATGATGAAAGACACTTCTACTATGAACGATAGTCAGCGAGATATTCATGAAAAATATTGTAATAAGATGAAAAAAATATATGGAATGTAGTTAGTATCACTTATGTAAAATGGTCATTAGTACCACTTTAATTTATCAACACTTATGTAAAATGGTCATTAGTACCACTTTAATTTATCAACACCTATGTAAAATGGTCATCAGTACCACTTTAATTTAAACTAGCCGTTATTCAAACTACCACTTTAATTTAAACTAGCCGTTATTCAAACTACCAATTTAATTTAAACTAGTCGTTATTCAAACTAGTCGTTATTCAAACTAGCCGTTTTTCAAACTAGTCATTATATATACTATCACTTATGTCATTGTTCTCTCATTCTCATCTTATTCTTCTCATTTTTCTCTCATTCTTTACTCACTAAATGGATTCAGACAATTCAGATGATTACGATCAAGATTTTTGGGAGTTGGTTGAAGAAGAATTTATGGACGACAGTGATGAAGAACAACAACTTCAAAATGAACGTCGATCTGGAAGTTCCTCTAGGCCAAAGAGAAAAACAACGATAGATCGAGATCGTGAAGAAGGGCACAATCGATTATTCAATGACTACTTCTCGGAAAACCCAGTATACACATATGTTCAATTCCGAAGAAGGTTCAGAATGCATAGGCATGTATTTATTCGAATTGTAGATTCCCTTGGAAATCATGATGAATATTTCCAAATGAGGGTCGATGCAACAGGTAAAATGGGTCTTTCACCATTGCAGAAATGCACATCTGTTATTCGTATGCTGGCATATGGGTCTCCTGCTGACCTTGTAGACGAATGTGTTCGAATCGGTGAAAGCACTTCAATTGAGTGCTTAAAAGGTTTGTTAAAGGTGTCAATGTTGTATTTGGCGCTGAGTATTTGAGAAAGCCTAACAACACTGATGTTGAACATCTTTTACAAATGGGAGAGTCACGTAGCTTTCCAGGTATGTTGGGTTCCATCGATTGTATGCTTGGGTATGGAAAAATTATCCTGTTGCATGGAAAGGACAATTTTGTCGAGGTGATCATGGTAAGCCCACAATCATGCTTGAAGCAGTGGCATCACAAGACTTATGGATTTGACATGCTTTTTTTGGTATTGCAGGTTCAAACAATGACATTAATGTGCTAAACCAATCCAACGTGTTTAACGATATTTTGGAAGGACGTGCTCCCAATGTGCAATATACAATCAATGGAACACCATATAATATTGGGTATTATTTAGCAGATGGTATATATCCCGAGTGGGCTACATTTGTCAAGAATATGTCAATGCCACAGGGAGAAAAGAAAAAATATTTGCTCAACATCAAGAATCGGCTAGAAAAGATGTGGAGCGAGCATTTGGAGTGCTTCAATCTCGATTTGCAATTATACGTGGCCCAACGCGTGCCTGGCACATGGACACTCTCAAGCATACCATATATGACTGCATCATATTGCATAACATGATTGTGGAAGACGAACGACATAAATATGGAGGTAATTTTGATTACTCTTATGATAATGTGGATATCAATAACTCAACAACTGAAACATTTAGTGATCCTCATCCAAATCTTTCAACAAGACTACAAAGAAGAGCAAGTATTCAAGAAAAACAAGTTCATCTCAAAACTTCAAGGAGATCTAGTCAAATATATTTGGGAACGTTTTGGACATGAAGATGATGAAATTTAAGTTTGATTAATTATGTGATGTTATTTATTTTTATCATTTTAATTATATATCATGTATTTGAGATTAATTTTAATTATCATTTTAAATTATAAGTTTAATTTAATTTTTTTTATTTTATATCAAATTTAATTTAAAACACTAAAATTAACTAAGGAGATATTGAAATATTTTTTTAAGTTTAATCTAATTTTTTTTAAGTTTATATAGTAGAATGAAATATTTTTCCTTAAAACAATACTATATACACGTTTTGCTATATAGTAGACTGGAATAATTTTCTGTAAAAAATTAAAATTATTATTTTAAGTGATATAAAATTTAATATGAATAAAATATTAATATATAAAATAAAGTTGTGGGATCCAATATGAGTTTTTCAGAGTTGCACCATTGAAGTGAAAAATTAATTAAGTTGCTTCAAGTTGACGTGGCTTAATATGTCCCACAAAAAATCCAAAAATAGATTCACTGTTAAAAATGCTCTAAGAGATCCAAAGAAGTGAAAGTTTAATGATGTGTGGAATAGAGATAGTTATAACCAAGTATCAAATGAGTGAGGTAGGATATTTGTGTCTGTGTTTGCTGTTGCAAATGATCACATGACACAAAAATTGTGAAGTAACAATGATGTCTATGTACTTTGGTCATAGTTTGAAATTTTGAATCACTTGGAGGTTTTTAAAATGTAGTAGGAAAAGAACTGGTCATAATTTGGACGCCGTAAATCAGACACACAAAATGAGAATATTTTGTTTTTGACCTTGAAAATGTGATAATATAATATATAACTCATCGTTTATGTGTATACTTTTTTATGCTGAGATGGTAACGTCTAACCTTGACAAAACAAAACAAAAAAACACAAATCACAATGATACGCATGTTTATTCATGCAACACTTTTTTTCTTCTTTACTCTCTACTTTTATTTAATTAATTAATTCTGAATGTGAATTTGGCCTATAAGTTGTTAAATAAAAATTTTGTTTGTGAAGTGTGAATATGAAATCTATGTTGGACTTGAGACATGTTATTTTTCTCTTTTAAATGGCCCAAACACCTAGTTTCTCTTGGATGTTAGAATTTTGGGCTGGATTATTTCTTCATATTGAGAAACTTGCGAAGAATTAACCTGCAATCTCAGTTATACCTCACATCTTCTAAACTGTATGAAAAGACAAAATTAATTCTGCACAACTTTTTTTTATAATTTTTAAATTTATAGTTTTGGAACAGATTTTTCAAATTTTAGAGGCGATATAGGACATTCTGAAACAACTCACGGAAATTTCAAAACAAGTGAGTTTTTTTACGGAAAATTACAAATTTACAGTATTTTGTATCGAAAATTTTAAAATTTTCAGTACCAAACTCAATATTTTTTACCTAAAATTTTAAAATTTTCGGTAGTTATAAAAATCTAGTATTATACCGGAAACTTTGAAATTTCCGGTAGTTATAAAAATTTAGTTTTATACCGGAATTTTCAAAATTTCCGGTAGTTATAAAAATTTTGTTTTATACTGAAAATTTTGAAATTTTTGATAGTTATAAAAATTTAGTTTTATACCGGAAATTTCAAATTTTCTGGTAGTGTCCATTATTATTTTTTTCTAATAATTATGTTTTTCTTATTTTGCAGTGAAATCCAGAACTAAAAATGGTACTATTGCAGGGAGAGTTGCGGATCAAGCATCTGAATAGGATATGGCTACCAGGGGTGTTGATGCTGAGTCTTCCCAGTTACGGGTAAAACGGATGGTCCCCATTAGTTCACACCAGAAGTGGTTGGCTGAGCGGGGCCATTTTCGTGCACCTCGTTCCACTCGACGCCGACCACTAGAGCATGTTACAAATGAGGTGCTGCCAGATGTTCTTGTAGTTGATCCTATTGGTGAGCCGGTGGTTGAGCCAGTACTTAAGGAGGTTGCTCAGGAGGTTGTTTAGAAGGTTGTTCGGGAGGTTGTTTAAGAGGTACAGTCTAATATTGTTGTTGGTGAGTCGGGCCCATCGGTTACTGCTGACATGGAGGTTACGACTCCTTCGACTAAGCTCTTTGTGCACACTGATGGAAGATTCCTAAGAGGACCCATCGACCGGTTTGTGCTTACATAGTATGTTGAGCATGTGGCTTTACGATTATGGTAGAGCGAGGTATATGTCTTTTATGTTTAGTTTAAATTTTTGTTTGTATATGTCTGTCACATGAGATATCAACTAATTTGTTTATATTTTTTTGTCACATGAGCGACTCACACTGAAGGTGACATCTCACGGGTCAAAGATGAAGGACTTCCTGAAGATTCTGATACTTGAGCAGGTCATTCAGATTATACAGGACTTCCAGTTGCTTGATTTTTCCCACTACTCCCTCACCATACTGGATGATCGATTGCTTAGTGCCTTTGTTGAGAGGTGACACAAGGAGACATCATCATTTCATCTTCCATTTGGGGAGATGACTATCACTCTGGATGATATCTCTACATTGTTCCATCTCCCTATCGGCGAAATTTTCTAGACGGCTTCCGTTCTTAACATAACCCTTGTATGTCAGGTTGCGACACATGATTTGAGTTTGTCTGAGGCAGAGGTGCTAGAGGAGTTTGGTGTGACCAGGGGTGCGCACCTTCATATGCATTTGCTTTAGAAGACATACGCTCAACTTGTAGCTACTAGGAGGTATGAGGTTGACGTTATGACATACATGCTACATATAGTAGCATATACCATCTTTTTGGACAAGTATGATGTTTATATTGATGCCTGGTACTTGTGCCATTTTAGTAGCCTCGAGGACACCAGCTGGAATTAGGGGTGTGTTGCATTGACCCAGTTGTATACAGCCCTTGGAGTGGCGACGGTCTTTGAGACCAAACAACTTGCTGGTTATTTGAGTCTGCTACATGTATACTTTAAGTTATTATATGTTGTTGCTTTCGTATTTATTTTTTATGCATGATCTCTTTATATTAGCATTTGGTGTATATGTGTTTTGATTTCAGTGCTGGATATATGAGTATTTCCCTACCATATGTGACAGAAAGATGCAACATTGCAAGGAGGGGGCCCACGGGCGAAGAGGTGGAAGGCAAGACAGTCACATCTTGGTGGTGTTGCTAAGTATAAGAGGAAACTCGATTCGCTAATTATAGATGATGTCATCTGGACACCATACAGTGGTCATAGAGTCCACCGTGAGTTTGAGGAGTCATCA